CACACTCTGACGTCCCCGAGTTTTCTCGATGAGTTGCTGCATCTTTGTTCCTTCCGCATTCGACCATAAAGCTCACCAGACCCCTCGATACTTCCGCTTGCTACATTTCCGTATCCACTGCGGGTAGCAACAACCCAGCGCTCGGAGCGGGGGGGGGGGGGGGAAATATACTGTCACAGAATTCATTAAAAGAGGCTATGCCGTAAATGAAAAAGGGCAGCTGGGAATGGAGGCCGAAAGAAGATGCAGAGGCTTCTATATATGCGATGCTGTGTTCTCATGAAACAAATAGACCGTCATATGTACGTTGTTGCGTATGTTAACTAACACTCGCTGTAACAGGCGAAAAGGAATCAAGGCAGCTTTTTGATGTGACCGTTCGAAAAGTCGGTGTCGGCGAAGTCTGGTAGACGGGTTATTCGATCGATGCTTGGTATGTAAAGGCCGTTTCCGAATAAATAGAGTACCACAAGCCAGGTGACGACGAAGTTGGCAATATGGTGTAGCAGGTAAGCGTATGTGACGCCATATATCGCGGCGTATACTGCAAGGAAGAAAAATAGGCCGGATGTGATATGTTTAAAGCTGAGAATGACGTTAGACCAATGCTTGTCGAGGGACAAGGACTGAGAATAAGGATACTTACTTCGATGTAACCCGTGGTATCATGGCTCCGGTGGTCAGGGTTTCGACGAGAAGAATGAAAGGCATTATTGATAACACATTATGGTGGGAGGAGAAGGGCGTGAACCAGTGTACGGCGAGGTTGTGGCCCCAAACGATGAGGACAGGGATGTTTATCGGAAGAATCCAAAGCATTAGGATGAGAATCGAATGTGCAAAGTTGCTTAGGTTGGCATGGTTGCCCGATCGCTTGGTCCAAGTCAGCAATTATCGGCTAATGAAAGAGTGAGTCTGCATGCTTTTAACTTACCGTTTCACGAGCATGAGAAGAGGCTTGGACACAAGTGATTAACTGAACGATACAGGCTACCACGTACGCAAACTGGTACGGGATGACAGTAGCTACTAGGAACAGCAGAATCACGGCATTAACTATCCTATGTCTTGTAGATAAACTCCACAGTAGCGGCGCAGTCCTGAATGTGGTTAGCAGGTTTATCGGCGGCGATCTATGAACAAGCCAACTTACTTTCCGTTTTCATGCTTGATATAGCCCTGTTGAGCAGCCACGGTGGATCGAAGAAGCCCAAGGAGATAGATGATGGTTGTGGCAGCATAATGGACAACAACACATGCACCAACGCTAATGATGCCGAAAAGAGGCACCAAGAACCAGAAGAAAGTGTCCTGGGAGCCTAGCAGAAGATCATTTTTCCCATAGTCTATCGGTGTCTCTGTTGCGTTTGACTGCCAACTTGATTGTACCCCCTGGGTTACAACGGACTTGGATGTTGCCAGAGTGGTAGCCAAAAGTGAGAAGCCAAGGAAGGTAAGAGGTAAAGAAGACCGGATACATAGTTCTAAACTTTCAGAAAAGTTGATAAAAACGCCTTTGCATAGCAGTAAGTAAGGAGAACGCCATATAGTCAAAGTTGAGGTTGTCTTCTTACCTGTTTGATCGTATACTCTAAATTGCTTGCGGAGGACCATTGCCACAATGACCAGGGGGAACGCAGCGAAGACGGTTCGATATCTCATTGCAAGCCTACCCAAGCTTCCCAGCACGTCCACTTGCAGCGATATCTGAAGTGGCGCGCTGCAGCTCCGATCTGACCACAGCTCAAAGGATACGCCAATTCCGGCTGCATTTTCCCTAATATGCGGAGGCATATACGGCGCAACTCCATGGAGATTAACGTCAATCGCTTTTACGTTGACGAAAAACTTGGATTCATACGGATCAGATATATACTGGCGAACGATGGGCGCAAATAGCTCCGAGTCGGGTTTGCATCCTTGCCTGTTGAGCTTAAGTTTATAGGCGAGCAAGCTGGAACGCAGAGCTGGAACCTTGATATCCGTCACCATTGGCCTGTCGGCTGGCAGCAGGATGGTTAAGCCAGCGCTAAGAAGCCGACCCAGGCTAACTCTTGTCGGAATTACTGAGTCAGAGCTGTCAGAGAACTCTGCAATCAGAAACCCGGGAGTAGCCTTCTCGTGCTTATCGACGATGGCCACAAACTGATACTCCGTAAGGTCTTCTAGGCTGTATTGGAAATACGAAAATGGTTGAGCGTCATCAAAAGCGGCTTTTGAATTCTTGTTTGATGCTGGAATGTTTATCACGTCCTCATAGCTGCTTTTGCACACTAGGCGAGGTGAAGCAGCGTTGCCGCCGGATAGATCAAGGTTCAGGGAAAGCAACGTCGCGGATTGCCCAGCGCGAGAGGGGGGATCGCTGCAAAACAGAATTTCAAGCTTTCCGGACCCTGAAGGTTCGACCCGCTGATCTGTCAAGAGGGTGAATTTTTTGCCAGGAACGCCTCCTCTTGGGGGAACAGGGATTAGATGGGCTTTAGGGCCTTCGTGATGGCCGAGTCCGCGCAAGACCAAGCGTTCACCTTGTTTTAACATTGCGTTGGCGTTTTCTTCAAGGGTCAATAAAGTAGTTGGTTCTATGGTGCCTGTTAGTCTGGTGATAGCGGATGTAACACAATATGGCTTAAATCTTACCTTTGCTTGGCAGGAGCTTATCAGCATTTGGTTCAATACCGGTAAGAAACCACTTCCTGAATATACTCATGCGCTCGGCTCGTTGCTTCGTTTGGGTAGCGCGTCGAACGTCAATAACATCAAAGAGGGCCCGAACAACGGCTTTTCTGAAGGAGTCACACCATGCAATTGAAAGGTGATCTACTCCGGTCCAAACGTTGGGAATTGTACTGGTAAAGACGGTGAAACCATGGGTATCGGGCACCAAGGAGGATAAACTTGTGTAGTCTGAAGGTACAATGGTGTCCCCTCCACCGCCAGCAATGGATATGAGGGTGACATGCCACAATGGATTATTATTGGCCCATCTCTCTGAATAGGCTTCGCGCCAGTAGGAGTTGATCTGTTTATAGGTGCTCATCAGGTCGGAATCGAATGATACGGGTGGTCTGGCATGCGGTGTGGACATGGTGATGATGGAATTCACAGAGTTGGCCTGATAATTGGCCATGGTCAGGACTGTCCTAGCAACAATTCCGCCCATAGAGTGACCTATCAGTATGACAGACACTGGGTCTGGCAGATCGGTATCTCTTCTAGCTCGGTTGGGGTTATGGTACAGCGACAGTATGTAGGACAGCGCGTCGTTGATGTATTCTGCCTGGTCGAGGATGGTCTGTCCATGGAAAGCAGCCATGTCTTCATTAAAGTCTGCCATGAAGAAATCCAAGCTCCTGGTACCGACCTTGACGCGGTCCTGGTCATGTTGCAGTACATTATGAAAGTACAAGGAGGCTTCGGAAGCAAGCGACCGGCCCTGTCGGTAGCTTCCTGCGTTTCCCGGGAGGAAGAGAACCGGAACTCCTTTGAGCTAGAGGAACGAAATCCATGTTAGTCAGTTACCATTGACATTTCTGTGCCATGAGTCTGGGAAAAAGGTAGCATACCCCGATATCTTCCTCGCTGTAGTCGTCTACACCTCGTTCTCGATACAAATAAAGATTGTACTTGCTAGCGAATCGGGTATGTTCCGTATCAAATCCTCCCAATTTGATGTATGTTGGCAGCATACTAGGTGTCTTGCATCCTTGGGGGTCAATCTGAAGCGTCAAGTACGATTGCACAATGCCAAAGACCAGGAGCAGACCGAAGATAGTAACGATGATAGTCGACACCGGAAACCCACAAGCGGTTCGTGACCGAGGCCGCCGCAGCCGCTGTGACTCTACCGAGTTTTCCATCATCGGTGTGCAATTTATATTTCTAGTGTTCTCGTGCTGAAAAGAAGCTTTTGAAGCCGAGCTCTGGCGGTGGGTTGAAGCTGAAGTCGAAGCTCAATATCACGTCGCACAGCGGACGTCTGGTCTTCGAAGCTAGCTATTCCGCCCTGGCTGGTCGATTCGGAATTCCACTCGGGAAATGCTATCTCCAAAAATATCGCCGCAAATAGCTTTTGTTCGTCAATTCCATTTCCATTCAAGCTGCCAGCGGCAGTAATCAGACGATCATTGCGGCCCGGCTGCGAGACGTCTTCGGTAGGTAGCTGTTCGAGGGGCTGGAGTAGTGTGTTTTTCCCGCTCGCAAGCTGTTTTCGTCGGTTCAAAGCTCGCAGCAGGAGCAGCAACAGCAGGTCGAGAGCGCGCGAGAGCCCTCCGGCACGAGTCTCTGCCTCCTCGTCGAGTGCTCAGGGGACTTGGAGTCGCTCTGCGCGAGGATAAGAAAAAAAAAAAGGGAGACGCGGGAGAAGTTTTGGCGGCCAAAGAAAAGTCGGAGCAGCCGCTTTTTGATATGCTGAGTCAGCAGGGATAGCTTCTTTGCTTGTGAAAAGAGACGACGACGACGACGACGACGAAGAAGAAGAAGAAGAAGAAGCAAAGACGAAAGCAACGATGGAGCAGCAGAAGAAGAAGACGAAAAGCGAGCCACAGAGAGGTTGGGATCGAGCTGCAGGCAGCAAGTCAATAATGGGCGACCGTTGACTCCGGCGGCGATCCTGCTGTCATTTCGTTAACTCCACGGCCAGAACAGCCAGCTCGGAGGAATTAATGACAGGGCGACGGGAGATTTAGGCCTGTCGATATAATTAGAGCCTGCCGCTCCCTGGATGCGCTCGTTTTCTGCCCAGGATCCCTTCTGTTAATATTATTACAGCCTGCTTGCGGCCGGGATGTAGCGTTCTACAGAGTTCTACCGCGAAGGTTCGGACGGGCCCCTGCTAATGTTCTGTGCCTGGTTGTGGTCGACCGCAAGCGAGGGGAATACGAGTTGCTTATGCATGAGATGGTTTGGCCAAAAGAGCCTCTCGGGAGCCTTGCAATAAAGGCGACTTTTGGTCAGAACCAGACGGTACTTGGAGAATATGGAGAATCGACGTCAGATGGTCGCTTTTCCCCAGCAGGCCGTGCCACACAGGTAGCAATGTGGGTACAGGCACAAGATCAAGATTGCATCTCAGTGGACAAGGGCTTCGCAGCTCATCCTGGGCATTGGGCCGTGGTGGCAAGGGAGAGGGCAGAGCACGCGTGTGTTCAGATTAAGGAGACGAACGCTGTTCCGTGCAAGCCACCAGAGGGCCGTTCATCTTAAAAGGACCTCGGATAGAAACCAGCTTCAGGTAAATTTGGAGTAATAGTTACCTAAACACCATTGTTTCGAACAATCTACTAACGAATAGGATAGATGAATGTATGGAGTATTGCTCATGGTTTCGGAGCACATCTAAAAGCTCGAAACAATTGCCAGCAAGTTTAAGGGCGGAGAACGGGCCATCGCTGAACTAGCGAAGACGCGCAAACGTGGACTAGGATACGGGGTCGGAGATGGCAATAATAACAGTCATTCATACCTGATCAGTGTGAGCCCTTCTGCTTGCGGCGAAAGGGGCCTCTCGTGGATCGCGGTATGACATCAAGAGGCCCCTGACGGTCCAGAGCAACTACGGGGTACGGGGGCAGTTACAGAGTCTTCAATCATGGCGTTCACACGTATAAACAACACCACAGTGCACTCCCATCTACTCTTTTTACTCTCATTTCTGTAGAGGAAGAGGGGAGGAAGAGAGATAATAATATTCAGAAGATGAGCGTGTCGCGTGTACGCCTGGCCGCAGCCCGCAACGGCCGCTTTAGAAACAGCCTTTGTTTATCATGCATTGCAGGAGTTCTTCTTTTTTTCATGGTTTTCTCGCTTTGGTTTGGGATGAATTCAGACAAAGATAATGTGCATCCGCTGCTCACACATATTATTCCGGCAGGCCATTGTACATGCCAAACATCGACCACGTTCAATTGCTCGGAATCACTAGCGACATTGCCCAAGAAGCAACCATCTACCCCAGCGCCAGTCCCGTCAGCAGAGTGGAACTTTGAATTCGATCGGGATAAAGCAAATGTGAACCTGAGCCCCTTGCAATGCAAAACTGCATTCCCAGGGCTCTTTGAAGACCCATATCGGGCAGCAGCATTTTGGGATTCTCAGCTCGGCATATCCAACGAGCATCTAGATAAAATCGAACTTAAAGATGGCATGGCCCGAGCCATAATACATCGGGGCGAGCTTTATATAGTCGCCACCAAAGCAGCACAAGAAGACCACAGAAAGAAGATACTAGCTGTACTAAGTTCCATGCACCATGCATTGTCAGCAACAGCAGGAAACAGAACACAGCCCAGCATCGAGTTTGTATTCTCCATTGAAGACAGGGTCGACGACATTTCTGGGCCAGGACATCCTATTTGGGCTTTGTCCAGGAAGGCGTCCGAAGAGTCAATATGGTTGATACCCGATTTTGGGTTTTGGGCATGGGATAATGCAGCAAACGCCATCGGCCCTTATAACCAGGTGGTCGATCGGATACAGCGACAGGAGGTTACTGTTCCTTGGTCATCGAAGGAGAATAAGCTTGTTTGGAGGGGCAAGTTGAGCTTTGCACCGAAACTAAGGCGGAACTTACTTGATATCGCCCGGGATACGAGCTGGGGTGACGTCAAGGAGATTGTATGGAGCGAAAAGCAGAACTTCATTAGCATGGATGACCATTGCAAGTATAAGTTCATTGCCCATGTTGAGGGTATGTTAACTCCCATTTTTTAACGGCTCGCTATCAAACCCAGCTAACTAACTGTACATAGGCCGAGCGTATTCCTCCTCCCTGAAATATCGACAAGCATGCCGCTTTGTCGTCGTAGCGCATAAGCTCCAATTCATCCAACACCACCATTACCTCCTTCAATCCACCGGGCCATACCAGAACTTCGTTGAGGTAGAGCGTGATTTCTCAGATCTACCTGCAAAAATGGAACATCTACTGGCAAACCAAGACCTCGCAGAACGAATTGCAAAAAACAATGCTAAGACGTTCAGAGAACGCTATCTCACCAAGGCTGCCGAGGCGTGTTATTGGCGAGAACTCTGGGCAAGCTGGGCAACTGTATTTAATGCTATTATAACTGATAGTGCTGTGGATCGGGGTTTACGGTTCGAGTCTTTTCTGCTTCTGGAAAGTCAGAAAATGATGGCGTTTTCGCATTATAATGTCCGTGATATATATAGATAGAGTTGTGTTGGGTCATTGCGACTTAGTTGATTGATACACCCGACCAATAGAGAGTTCTCATCAATTTATCATTCAACGCCTGGTAGCTTCTCAAATTCCACCCAAAGTTTGGCTACATACCGTTGGATATAGATCCTTTGCTGGCTACATTATTCAAGCAGGCTAGAACCTAATGGAACATCCGTATGGAACTATTTGACTAAATGAAAGGGAAGCTAAGTTTTCAAAGTGAACTCAGCATAATATACAAGCACCTTGACGACAGAGCAAAGCCAGCTCTGACAAGTATATAACCGAGAGCACATCGCCCCACATCCGCTTCAAAGTGCCTATGGATCTTGTCCCTACAGCAATTTAGCTCTTTTCTCTGAAGCCAACAAACATGGTGCCGATCCACATATCATTACCGAGCCATGGGAGCGCTGGGGTATGGATATACTGGCCATAAATAACGGAGTATATGAACACGAATACCGATGTCCAGGCGGGAGTGCCTTGTCGGCGGCGGCTCTTGGTGGCAACAAAGAAATTGTATCTCTACTCCTTGAACCTGAGTTCAGGCTCTCTCCTTCCTCATCAGAGTATCATAGGGCTATTCTCTGCGCGGTACGGATGGACGTATTGATATTGTTGACATGTTTCTCGAGGTGCAGGGTATACCTATCTATGACATACAGTATTTCAAAGACCAGATGCTTTGGGAGGCAGTATGTCACAATCGAGAATCCACGGTCCAATGGCTTGTCGACAATGGCACCGACATCAATCGGGATGGTCCTCTAATCCGTGAGCACGGCTGTGCTCTCCACCTAGCCGCGCAGAACGGATATGGTAATTTGATCCGCCTTCTTCTGGACCAAGGCGAGGACATGAGTTATGTATCTTCCTACATGTCCCTCACACCCATGAGATTTGCGGCCCGAGGAGGCCATCTAGAAGCCGTACAGGTGCTAGTCGAGTAAGGTGAGAAATTTGAGCATGCCCTGGTCCCTGCGGCGTCTACGGGTCAGTCGCATATGGTGAAATGGCTTGTTGAGAAAGGGGTTGACCTTAATTACTGCCACTACAGCGAGAACGTTGGAATCCAGGCGCTTGTCCGAGCTATAATGGTCAATACCTTGGGCATAATATCCATTCTAGCAGCGGCTGGCGTCCCGCTCAATAACGATGATTCGGACCTTTTACGGGATCCTGTATGGGTCGCAAAATCTTTTTCTTCCCCATGGGTGTTTGACTTTCTTCTCTCAATAGGTGCACAAGATCGAGAATATGCGGAAGATCAGCTAATTAACGAGAGAGAAGAGAGGATATATGAGCTGGGGAGGTATGGATTGCTCGACATCAACCAAGAAACCTGGATGTGGCAGGGCAAGTATTGGGCAGTTATCCAGCTGCTTGAGTTGTCCTCATCTCAACGCTGCTGGTAGCCTGTAAGTTAGGAGTTATCCCCATCGATACAAATGACAGACCCTGGATAAACAGCCAAGGCTCCCCAATGCTCTGTTCACACGGTGAGAGAAGGTCTTTCAACTTTTTCCGGTACTCTTTGTCAAACACATGCGTTAGTCTATGATTCTAGTAGTCCTAAAGCCCCCGAATAGAGTGAGTAATTACTGGAGACACACAACTTATTGTGAGGCTTTGACTTCCAGTAGCTACCTGCTGGCCGGGGGAAGCATGACCTGGAGATTACCTAGGTACTAAGGGGTAATCAATCTCGCTTGAATCGTCATGCATTATTAGTAATTGTCCCCAATATAGTTATATAATGCGATTTACCAATATCTTATGCATTCATCCAGGGCGCACTCGGGGTCGGGCATTAAACGTGCTTACTCAGTGTGCATTTGTGTGCCCTGAATCCTTCTAGCACTGAGATGCATTCGTCGTATCAATCATGGTACAGCGTAAAAGGTGCATTCGCTTATATGAGACGCAATACATGAAAGAATGATATTGGTGTTTTATAACCAATGTAGCCGGGTATGATATGAGTAAGCCTAATAATAAGCACACTGATATTCCACGCTGATGCGGAAACCAAGCTGGATGACAGTGCAGACGGCAGAGGGTTACCAACTGGTGAACACCTGGAGTGGTTGGAAAACAAACCATTGTAGGGAGCATCAACAAGGATATATAGATAGAGTTGATATCACCACAATGGAAGAGTATCCAGCATTCTATCAAATAAACATTCCACCCTCGATACCAGCATTTTTGAGCCACGCACCCGCACCACTCAGAGAAAAATGAATGCTCTCGTTATAGGCCTTACTGGTGTGCTTTCTTTTGCTCCCTTTTTGGGGGACTTGTTTGCCGCTTCTTGGAAAGATGTGGCTGTTGAGGGTTACTCTTGGGGAGTTTGATGTTTTCAAAGAAAGAGTGAAAACTGATACCATTAGTGGTGATATGCCAAATGTTGCCCTTTTCGATGCCAACGGTCGACGTATTGGGTTTAAAAATGGAGAGAAGCATGGGAAGGTTAAAAGCGGCCAGGGATATGATATTACAGTCGAGCCTTTCGAGTCTGACAACAGGAAGGATCCGGAGTATGTCACCATATCAGCTTCAAGAAGCGATGCCATTTGTATTGCAGCGGTTACCGTCACTGGTGCAGACCAAGGTAAAAAAAAATGGACAAGACCTGGGCCTGGAATGGTGGATTTGGATTCTTATGTGGCAACCTGGCTTGGTATCCGTCTAAAAGGTTAACAACTGCATCAGAGCGATCTGCCTGCATTTGGATCAGTAACAATGGCCGTTTTCCAATGGGATTTTTGATACACATACCAGACTTTTCTCATGAAGAGCTGCTGCCTCAATTCAAGTACAAGAAAGAAACGGTATGCAATAGTGAACCACGGCAGCATTTCTACAAGGACATCAACGAACTGCAGTGTCCCCCGGTCTTTAAAGAATTCCCCAAGTTTGACGAAGAAACTGGATATAAAAATAACACTCAAGTCTTGCTCAACGGAGTGACAACTTGCAAGCCAGCGATTGGGGAGGAAGTTAGCGACGAGGATTTGTCACGGCTGAGGAAAGGAATAAAGAATCACTCAAGAATAGGTAGTGAATCGTGGACTTATGGGGTGAAGAGAAACCAGATCTTCAAGAGGAAGGACTGGAAACCTTTGGGGTGCGATCTGAAGAATGCAGTTGTTGTTTCTAAAGGCTACACAGCACGGGCTATTTGCGAACACCCTACCTCCGCGGCCCCGACTATGGGAACAAGAAGGGCTGTTCTGTGACATGTGTACGAAGAAGCTGTGGCCTTTTTGCTCGGTGAAAGTAACAGCAAACTGCTTTGACGAAACGCACTGTGTTCTTGGGGATCATCCAGGATTCAAGCGAGGTATCAATGGGACTTCTGTGCATAGAAGCTATCAAGATATCCAGGTTTGGGATGATTGGATAGCTCTCGCTCCTTCTCAATGCCTCTGCTGGTCGGAGGCATTTTGCTTTCTCCCTGTTTCCATTCGACCATTCTACTTGTTGAAATTTCTCGCTTAGTTACCTATTTTGTCGCTTTGGATTATTCGTTATTCTTCATTCTGCTTTAGGCACCCTGGATCCTTTTTGAATTGGGCAGGGTACACCGTCAAAAAGTAGATAAATGCTGTCGATGAGGCTGGACTTTCGGGTGGATAAAAGTTGGCAATGTGTAAATCTTTTGTTGCGGCTCTGCGTGGGACGGCCCGCTCCTTCAGCCTCAACCAAGCCACTAGTAAACTAATGGTTATACGCAAGGTAGGTACCAAACTCGCTTGATTCCAAATAACGGTGAACACGAGAGCCTTCAATGATAAACCTTATACAGCCGAGTGCGGCGAGTCTCCCCGCACTGAAAAGCGGAGAGCATGACAGAACCAAGTGAGTGAAGTTGGGAAGCAATGGAATGGTATCGGAAAGGTATAGCAAAAAAAACAAACCACAAGGCGAACCAATTCTCTGCTCAGGTCTATTAAACTGTTTCTATTACTGACTGCCGCTATTACTGACTGCCGGCGATCAAGCGAGTGGACCGATCTTCACTTCCTCACTAGCAGCCATTTCTTTCCATTTAGCCATCCTTTCAAGTTCGCGTTTGCTACGTCGCTTTGACGACAATAACTCTTTGAATTGGCCCTTTGCACCGTGCTTGAGTTTAGTGATCATATCAGCGGCTTCACCCTTTGTAATCTTCTCAGGTATTTCCTTCCCAAGTTGTTTCCTCAGGTATCCTATCTGTCCGGGGCTTGCACGCCTCTTTCTCCACGGCTGCCATGAAGCAATGTATACTGGGCCTCTAAATATGCGGGAGGCAAGGGTATCAGCAGCGTGAATTGCCTGAACAAGATCAACCGCGGATACCACCTCGCGAGGACGACTGAAAGGGCTTTTTGAGTTACCTGACGGGCTTAAGCTGATAACATGGTGGACTGAAAACAAGCCAGAATTATCTTTAGAGATTGTTAACCTCCCTGCAGGAGCGCTAAGAATGTAACGATGTGGGCTAACTTGGACCCACGCATTTTCGCTAATAGCACGGATATGATCTTCACCAGAGGCATCTTGTACCAGGTCGTGGACAGAATCGTAGTCGGTGAAACCAACAACAATGTCTTCGTCCTCCGGGGAACGGCCCTTTTTCGTTCCCTGGCCTTGGGTTGGATCTTTGTCAAAGTTCTCTCTCTTCTCTTTAGCATCTTTAGCAGATATCTTGTCCAAACCTTCATCGGGATGTAATCCGAGGAGGGTAGGTGTGGTGAGAACTCCACAATTCAAGGAAGCAACCATATCAATGATATGGCAATTGGCTTTATCTGGATGTAGCCGAAGACCTCTCCCTATCATTTGAATTAGGAGATTCTTCGATCTTGTAGGTCTTGCGAGCAAGACACAGTCGATATTCGGAATATCGGTTCCTTCAGTAAAGAGTCCACAGTTAACGAGAACTGGAAACTCGTAATTCCTGAAAGCTTCCAGTTCTTTGGCACGGACATCCTTGGGAGTCTGGCCTGTGATATACCTAGCATCGACTCCGATCTCTCGAAACTTGGCCGTTAAGTCACGTACATGGGCAATATCAACGCAAAACACAAGTGTGGATTTTCTTTCACCGGCTTTCGAGCGCCATGAAGAAACGGTGATGTCATTGGCGGTCTCTGTGTTGACAGCAAGTGAAAGCTGATGAGTTTGAAAATCTCCATTGGGACCATCACTGACGCGTGAGAGATCCACATGCGATTTCACCGTCGTAAAAAGGGCATCGGAAAGCCAGTTCTCTCCGATCATGTCAACATAATCTTTGTGGTATACAATGTAATCGATAGCTGCGCCCAATTTCAGCCCATCAAACCGCGAAAATGTTGCAGAAACACCAACTAACGCTGGAGAGTCTGCATTTGTCTCGCCCAAGTTGAAATGAGCTAGGGCTTCACGATAGCTCGGCGCAACTATATGGTGTGCCTCATCAACTAACACAAGTTTAAATCTTTCTGGATTGTATTTCTCTATTCGGCCTTTTGAAAGGAGGCTGCGGATGGATGCGATTGTTATATCCGCGGTCCCAGTTGCATGGCTGTTTGCCATTTCGATTTCAATGGTCTTGTCGGGGTAAGCACGCGTGCAGTGCTTTGCAGCTTGCTCAACGAGCTCTTTTCGATGAACTAGAATAAGTGACTGGGTTCTCTTATGGTCGGGAAGATTTACCCGGCCGATTAGTTGAGTAAATATCACCTATTGAAATATACCGAATTAGCATCTCACTGAAATCCCCATTACAAGTTGACTCGTACAGTTTTGCCGCTACCCGTAGCAAGAGATACCCCTAGTCTCTTGTGGCCCGCGTCCAGATGGGATAGAACAGACTGTATACATTCTTCCTGATAATCCCGTAAACGGATTTCGGGGTTCAGTATTGGAGCTCCGTCAGACGCTCGCACCGACGCCACTGAAGAGAAGAGACGAGCTCCGATCTGCGCAGCAGAGTATCCCCGACAGTATAACTTTGTTAGGCTTAGCCATCTTGAGCACCGAGGTATCTTCTGCATCTTCCATGTTGCTTGCTGGTTGTTTGATTCTTGAGTCCTGCTGGAAGTCGCGAAGCTTTTTGATATGCTCTAACAATGCAAACAGGACAAACAATGCAAACAATGCAAACAATGCAAACAGAGCTTGCCCTTGCATAAAAAAAAAAAAAGCAAAGCAAAATCTGAAGAACAAACGACAACAGCCAGCGGATAGCTTCGTTTTACAGTTGAAAGGTTGAAATACTGACCCCTTCATGGGAATGGTTGATATGTGCTCCTCATTTTTGTTTGCGGTAAATTTCCCAGCGTGTGATACCCGGGACTGGACGTTTGGACGGAATCTTGGGGAGAGATAGGTAGCATGTCAAGCAGCAGCTACGAGCCCCAGGATGATACACCTGATTTTCCTAGCGAGACAGATGAACCAAGGAAGGTAATCTACGATTCTTCAGATGCCCAACCCTCTTCACACCAGCTGCAGCGTCTTACACTTGCATCATCCCCTCCTGTCTTGCCGCGAAAACGGAAACGGGTTGAGAAATGGGCGTGGAACAAGAGAGAAAACCATTTGCGGCGGGCAAATGCCTTGCCCATAACATCCTACAGGGATCTTCTTATTCAAGCTACCGATGAAATTGCTCAGGAGCCCAATCATGGAGCACCCATCCATAGCTCACAGTTTGGCATAGTTAGGTGGAGCACAGAGGAGAAACTGGCGCTCTTTTCAGCGCTTGCAAGGAAGGGTAAAGGCGCTATCTCGGAAATAGCCTCTTCTATAGGCTCCAAAAGCCGAATAGAAGTCCAGCAGTATATCATGGGGCTTGAGCAGGCGCTACGAGAGCACCATTTAACGGAAAAGAAATTTCGGTGCATAACCTTTTCAGATATACATGCGGCAGCCGAAATCAGTGATGAGTGCTGTCTCGCGCTGGAAAAAGCAGCCAACGCACTCTCTGTGCAGGAAGAACAAGCGCATAACGTTTCAGGGAAGCGAAAATATAAAGACATGTGGCTAGTAGACAGTAACGCTGCTTCATTCTTGGAAGAGAAGATTCAAACCAAAGATATCAGCGATGTCGACCCAAGTGCACACCATATGTTAGCTACAGCTCAACTGTTCCACATACCGAATTGGATCAATCTTTCAAGAAACGTCTTTATGAACTTCGGAGGTCATCGTATAGAAGATAATTGGACCAGGGTATGTTTTCATGAAGAGACTCCTGCCGTGACGTGTGATAGCTTTACCGACTTTTATACGATCGCTGTCAGTTTGACACGAAGATTGGTGCAATCTTCTATATTCTTCGCGCTCATGAGGATTCGTGCCATGGATGAACGAGGCCGAGACCGAGACAGAGTTATCCGGAAAGATGATGTCATTAATGCATTAGATACACTAAAAGTACAGCACAATACCCGTGAATTCTGGATATACGCAGCAAGGCGGTGCTCATTAGACGTCCGCGAGTATGTTAGCAAAAACAGCTTCAAGACCACGTTACTCTCCTATGACGAGGTTGAAAAGCGGCTATCTTCTTCCAGTCTGGAGCTAGCTGAGCCACGGCACAAAGAACCTGAAGATCAAGAAGAGGCCCAGGAGGAGGATGATGAAGAGGAACCCCAGCATGAGGAGGAGGAGGAGGAGGAGGAGGGCAGCGACGTACTACTGATGAACAATCCAGAAAGATACACAGTGGAAGATTCCTCTTCTTCGTTTGAGGGCTCGGAGACCGACGTGTCGATGGGAGATGTCTCATCTTCAGGGACAGATGAGGAGTTGTTATCAGATGAGGAAGAGATATATGCTATGGCTATTGATAAAGAAACCAGCCGTGGGGAAGAAAAGCGGCTATGGCAGATATTGAACCCGACTCCCAAATCCGAGTCCGATATCAAAGCAGAGATGGAAAGCGACGATGAAGGGCTATTCTCAAGCTCTAGACGAAGAACAAAACCACTGACAAGAAGAAAGACGATCCAAGATCTTCAAGATTGGAGGAATGCGGTATTGCCTATGGCTGACTGGGAGCTATTTGGGCCGGAAACGTTGTCAGTCAACGAGGAAATCCGTGAAAACCACCGTATAAAACGGCAGAAAATAAGCAATGAGGAACAAACCGGATAGACAGCTCCGCAAGGCGTTTTGGATTAACTTGATGTATCAGTTACAATGGCGTAAGGGACATAGACTATTATATGTTGCATAGAAACTGGAGTTTGAGTTCATGTGTATACAGTAGCAACAGTTGCATGGACAGTGTACGATTTGGAGGAAATTGAATCTAGAGAAACTATTTTGGCTATCACCCAACACTCCCAGCTAGGAATTCTGTACATGTAATGTAGAAGATGCACCATGTGTTGAGCGATAGAAGAACGTAAACCAAACAGTACAGCGAGTTGAAGGATCATTGTAAGATAGGGGTAAAAAAAAAAAAAATGGATAACTCCAATATCTAACGCCCCCCCCTACTACAGTCGTCCCAACGAAGAGATAATAAGAGAAAAGAAGCATCCTTGAATCTCCCGCCCAAAATATTCCTCTTGCCACACAGCGACAGAGGAAGCCAGCAGATTAAAATCATACACATCAACTTGAAAGCTATAGCTTTCCATCTATATCAACAACCCACGCTCAACAACTCATATTTCATATGATTTGTAGTCTGGGCCTCCACTAGCACTGTATGGCTGAACGGCGTTAACGCCATTGTCTGCGCTTGTCTGCTGGAAGGTATAATTCTCGCCGAGTCCGATTGTTTGAGCTTGAGCGGCAACGGCAGCCCCGGCTTCGTTTCCTTCTAAGCTAGCAGCCTTGAAGGCTTCTTCTACTTCCTTGATCCTCCTCTTGAGTCCGAGGCGGTCGAGGAAGAGTTGTTGTCTGGCTTGCTCAAGGTCTCGGCGCTCAGCTTCAACAACCGCCTCGAGTTCCGAGAATTGCGCTAGTTTCAATTCAAGCTTCTGCAATGTGAGGTTGACAGCAGCACCCACAAGGCGGGTCATTTCTCTCTCTTCATGCGATGCTAAGGCCCCGGCTCGGGCAGCAGACGCAGCCAGGCCAATGGAGGCAATGGTGGCTTGGGCTGTCTTTCCCTGGCTTGTAGATGAGGTAGGCGCTTCCTGGCCTTCGTTTGCAGTATCGATTTCCATGGAGTCCTCGGCTTTCATTGATTCTGCTTCTTTTCCTTTTTCTCCGGTCTTCTCAGTGTCTTTCTCCTTGGTCGTGGATGCGGTACGTTTGTCGAGTTGTTTCTGTAGATCACGGCGCATCTCTTCAACCGTTCGGCCGGCGGCCGCAGCAGCAACGGAAGGCTCGGTCATTTGTGCCAGGTAAGTTACCACAGACAAGACTGGATTCTCGAGCTGGCTGACCGGCTCTCGTCCACCGGCAGAGCCCAGCATAGAAGAGGTGCCCTCAACAGGATCCTCAAGATACTTGTCTTCAATTTCAAGTTGGAGAAATTTCATAACACACTCTTCCGGAGTTCGTGTACCGACATGTCGGGAAATCTGCTGCCAATTGTCATCAAAGTTCTCGAGAGCCTCAAGGAGCAAAAGGAGCTCTGAGTTTGACCATGGTTTCTCACGGTCCTGTATGGTAGTATACTGGCTATCCTCTAGCTTGACGAAATCGGAAGCTTGGTGGGAGGATGGCATCCTACCCTGGAGGTAGCAGTTGGGGCACAGATCGTATTTGAGTTCTGATGGGTTTGTGGTGGTTGATACGGGGGCTGATTTTGCGTAGTGGAATCGAACTCGAGTGCAATCAATGCCACAGGCGTAGCAGTTCAAGGATTTTTTACCTTCCTTTGCGGATGCTTCCATGGCCTTGGTGCTCGACTCCGCAGGGGTTCCATTGGTAACTGCATCTTCACCATTGGTTTCCTTGTCTTTGCTCTCAGATGGGGTAACCTCCTTCCCTTTATCGTCATAGATGTTGCGTCGGATTTCAAGGTTGAGATCTGATTTCGAGAGTGGAGTTGCGGCGGCAGCTCTGTCAGTGGATGGGTGAGGCTTTCCGGCCGTGACAATTGTGTTTGGGCCAGGCTGGAATGGCTGTAAGCCACGGGGGGTATCTGCAGTGATTCTGAAGTGGCCAGTGAAAGGAGGGCCAATATTTGAAGGGCGCGACTGAGGGTCAACCTAAGCATATGATGTTAACGACGACGTAACGCTTTTGCACGTTGTAGGGGTTTGTCCTCGCACTCACCTGGTAGTTGATTAAACCCCAGTGTTCCAAAAACGCGTGTGTTCGCATGATTGCACAAACATCTCCGGCCAGATTCCTTCGGCAGGCTGTAACCGTCAGGTATTCGACTGGGTTCACTCGGTAGGTATTGATCATGAAATCACGGTAATCTTTGTAAACTGCTGGCGTTTTACTGCGGTTTCGGCTATTGAAGAATTCCGGAAGGGCCTTTTTCTCGACTGGGTGGATGGTGTTCATATCAAACCAGCTGGTATAGCTAGGTAAGATGATGGCATGGGTCTGCGCAATGAGATTTGAACGCGCCGACGCCTCTGTCGCGGCCTTGCTTTGGTCTGACGGCCCATCAACATTGCCATCAGTCTGCTGCTGGAGCATGGAGGTATCCCCTTCGTCTCCAGCATCGTTATCAGCCTTGGAGTCGTTTGTGCCACCCATCTCTTCATCCTCCATCTCGTCATTCTGTCCCTTTGGTGAAGGCGGGGCATCCAGCGGGTTGTCTGAAGGGTTCTGGGTCGGAGTGGTCTTTTCAGGCGAAACACCACCGGACTGAGAGCCTATAATGAAATACGCGCGTGGTCAGCCATTGACTTTTGGAGCTGCTTTGCAGGTCTTTTCAGCATGCCGGAAGCCAAACCAGGACATACCGGTAGGGCGGCTAGGGGAGGCCATGGTCTCGTCAGCCCCCGACTGCGCGTCTATACTGGTAGCAGTAGGCTTGTTCTCGTTTCCTGAATCTCCTGTCGACTGGTCCATCGCAATGGGGGATGCACCCGAGCTTGGGGGGAAGTTTCGATGTGGCTCTGGTGGCACTTCACGGCGACAGCAGCCTCGCAATGGCGGAGTATATCCCTGTCAAGCAGATAGCACTGGCTATAGGGCTGCCCTGTGTGCTCGATGTTCGTCACTGTATGGCTGCGATACCAACCTGGCGGAGAAATGCGATGCGATGCGGTCGTGCAAGATCTTCCCAGCCTGCGAAAGTCTTTGCGTTTTTGGTGAAATCGCGATAGAAGCAAAAAGGACGCCAAGCCTTAGAGATGATCACGTGTATATGTCACGTGTATAGTGCTTTAGGTATTATGTAATCCATATAAGGCACATTCGGCTGTCTCTGTCTTTGGCGAAATAGTGACTCTTGACCACGGTTATACCGTGGTTCTTTGATAGTCGCAACAAAACGCGATAGCTCTACGGTTTATCAATACCCGCCGAATACTGTACACATTGAATATCATTAGTCCTTTTATTCCCGCGACATTGATGCTTAATTACATCAGCCTAGATCTACGAACAGGGCTCAAGATGGCAGCTGGCTGAGAGGTAGAATCTCTCTCTCTCCATGGCCTCGGGCCCAGCGGGAGCCGCATTTACGTTTTTCCACCTCAAAGACCTGGGATGGGCTATCACCAAGGTTAGAAAATTCACAAAACCAGAAGCTATTGATAGTCGATCAATGGGGGGTATTATTTACTAGAAGTCCGTTCAGGAACCGGGTTGCCAGCGTCACCAGATATATCTGGAGCATCACTGAATTTGATCTTGAGGGGGCGAGCAGATTCGACGTGCTCGTCTTGAGCCTCCCGCTTTGAAGATGCCAGGTCCTTGCCCTCTACGATGCGGCAGGCGTTAAACTCCTTCGCGGCCTCGGTACACTGAGCAATGAAGTCGCGGCTCTCCCTCTCTGACTGCGTCATGCCCAGAGCCCTGTCCTGTAGTTGAAGTAGTGCTGATGCGAGCGGATAGGACTGTGTGGAGATCTGGATTCTAGGTTATTAGTTACCTGTGCAGGTTGCCAAGGTCCGTATGAGATACTCGGGCCGAGAAAGCTTGAAGGTAGTTTGTTATGACCTACAGGTGTACAACGGCGCTTCCGCACTTTGCTGCACCGCGAACACTTAACGTCTTGCATCCACAGACAGGTCAGCTTGCGGGCGCCACCAGTTCTGAGGCTGTTGCTGATTGAACGAACGCACCGGGCACAAGGCAAAGCGGTGGCTCCGGGGCATGGAAGGATCCGCTCGGTGGACGCAGACATGACGATAGGCAAGCGAGTTTACGGGCGCGTCGGCGGGCGGAAGAGCAGCATTGGAAGTGGAATGACAGGAGGCAAAGAGTAGTACAGGCCGGGCAGAGCAGGAAATACCAACAGATAGATGCGGGAAATGCGTTGTGGGAGAGTAGTTAAGTAGGAGTAACCAACACTAACACTTGGACATGTTTTTTATAGAGACGCCCTCGTTGCGCGCTAACTAGTTGACCAAAATTCGACTTGAGTATTATCTTCCAGCTACCGTCGCCCTTTCAAGTTTCGGGCCTTTTCCCTTAGCATCGTAGGATATGTTATATTTACGTCTCTAATTAATGATGAATAATACATGGTATACTAAGTCATTATAAGGTCCTAGCAAAAGTGTTTTAGAGTAGTGCACACTGCTCAACAATTGATCGATTCGCCATCCTGCTACTTCTGCATGCATACTATATTCAAATCCGTATTCCCCTAGTCCCCCTATTATAAAGAAATAATAATAATAATATTATATACTAACTACAGCAAAAAGAAGGCCGCCTATAACAGCGGATGACTAATCGCATATGCACATGCTTAGTCATCAGCCGCGCGCCTAAACGCGTCGAGAAACGCGACTTTTAGATGGCCTTTTTGCGAGCATGGCGAGGGATGAAAACAGCCACCGTCAACGGTGAGGACGAGAGAAGCACGATGGCACTGTCTTGCTCCCCCAGGCCGCTGCTGCAGGAGCTGCCCATGATGTCTGCCGCCGACTACGCAAAGAGGAAGTTCGAGGGCGGACCCGAGGCGGAGATACCAAAGCGCGTCAAGACCGGCCCGTTTGTGATGGACGACGACGACGACGATGATGATGACGTGGTGGGCGACAATGGCATATTCCAGGGCCAACTGCATGCTCATACTCCGTCGCGCAGATTAGATGACGAAAAAACTGGACTTGAAGAGGCCGACAGCTTGTGGCAGAGAAAAGCTAGAGTCCCTCAAGAAGCCTCTACGAGACCACAAGTTACAGCCGAGAAGTATACATCCGTCTCGATCAAGACCTGCTCCGGGAAGGTAAAATATATACGACGACGGGTGAAGAAAGACCACGTTCCCTACGAGAGGTTGATTGCAGAAAGATCGGTTACCGCTGCCGGCAAGGCAACCCGAAGTTATTACGGGATTGATATACACCAGCTTATAGACGAGGCGAAACGGTTGGAGCCATCTGCCCCGGCTGCCATCCCTTCTGTTGAAACCCAGGGCTCGGCACCGGGTACTGCAAAGCCTGCTCACCGGCTGTGGACGGAGAAATACCGAGCTAGGAGCTTCAAGGACTTGATTGGCGATGACCGGACACACCGCACTGTGTTACGTTGGCTAAAGGCGTGGGATCCAATAGTCTTCCCGGGCCTGGCAAAGCCGAAATTGAAGAAGGACAGCTTTTCTAATGACGCCGAGGAACGAGCACATCGCAAAGTCCTACTGCTTACCGGGCCACCAGGTCTCGGCAAGACGACCCTAGCTCATATATGTGCGAAACAAGTCGGATATGAGATCCTTGAAATCAATGCAAGTGATGAACGAAGCCGCACCGTGGTGACGGGAAGGATTAAAGATGCTGTCGGAACTGAGAACGTTAGAGGCGTTACCATTGTCGAAGATGGCAAAGTTATCAGGAAACCAGGCAAGCCGGTCTGTGTTATTATCGATGAAGTCGACGGTGTTGTTGGTGGTTCTGGCGGGGGAGGTGAAGGTGGCTTCATGAAAGCACTTATCGATCTAGTACAACTAGATCAAAGGAACTCCTCTAGATCAAAAACCGACGGACAAGGCACTGGTCGGAAGGGCAAAAAGAAAGGAGATAACTTCCGGCTCCTTCGTCCGCTTATTCTGATATGCAATGATGTCTACCACCCTAGCCTTCGACCCTTACGCCAGGCTTCCATTGCGGAAATCATCCACGTTCGCCGTGTGCCGTTTGACCAGGTGGTCCAGCGCGTGAAAAGCATATTCGAAAAGGAGGGTATTCAATGCGACGCTGATGGAGCCAGGAAGTTATGCGAAACCACCTGGGGGGTGAGTGACACCAGAAACCATGCTGCTCTTAGTCGTGGCACTGGCGAAGGTGATATCAGAGGCATCCTAGTGGAAGCAGAGTGGGTGGCACACAAACTTCGCTATGATGGCCTCACCTCTTCGTCCAGGTTGACGAAGCTGTGGCTGGAGCGGCATATTCTTCACAACCAGCAAGGGAGCGGCTTATCCCGTGGCCTCGGCCGTGGTGGAGCAAAAGAAATCGTCAGCCGAGTGTTTCTCGATGGAGCCGGCTTTCCACACGATCGACAGGACAAGCAAGGGTTCCAAGACCCGTTCTCCAGAGAAAAGAGCAAAGCGCCTGTCGGAGTGGCAGAGCTCCGTAAGCGCGCAGCGATCAGCCGGCTGAGCGAAATGATCGATGCTTCAGGAGAGTATGATCGCTGTGTGACTGAATGTTTCCTCACGTACCCTACGCAGACTTTCCAGGATGATACCCTCCTCTCAAAACCAAATGCCGCATATGACTGGCTGTGTTTCCATGACCAGATATCCTCGAAGGTTTTTTCAAATCAGGATTGGGAACTGAACCCCTACCTTAGCCAAGCAACAATTGCTTTCCATCATCTCTTTGCGTCGTCACACAAGTCTGAGGATGGGTCAAAGATGGACATTGACGGAGACGGGGAAGAAGAACATCCCTTTGCTGGCCCGCGAGCAGACTTCGCCGCCTTTGAAGCTGAGAAGCAAAACCGCGCCATCTTGGTTGAATTCCAGTCTTCCCTGTCTGCTCCCTTGAATCGGACATTCCACTCTACTGAGACCGTTGTCACGGAACTGGTGCCGAGCCTTACCCGCATGTTGGCACCAGACATAAGACCAACCCTTATAGGGAACTCCGGCGGTAAGGGAGCTGTTGCGAGCGTACGCAAGGATAGCGAGCGGGCCTTGCTTAAAGCTGCAGTAGGCATAATGCATGGGCTAGGCGTGACTTTTGAGAAGACCAAACTTGAGACTGAAGCCGGTGGATATGGAGGCTACATCTACAGGATGGAACCGTATGTTTTTTGTCTGCTTTCATTCACAAACCAATCCATTGCTTCTTCCCCCATCCGTCCGAAATGTAACATTAGCTAACCACACTCGCAGGTCCCTTGATTCTCTCAACAGTTTCTCCAAAGTCAAAGGCACCGCTCTAGCGTCAGGCAGTATATCCGCACCCGTTCGATATGCAGTTCGCCAAGCACTTGACCAGGAGTATCGCAAGAGCTTGATCAAACGGCAATCAGAAGCCCAGAACCCCCACTACGGGGGCCCCGGCTCATCAAAAGGGGGCAATGGCAACGACAATGCAGATGATAATCAAGATAGTAGCAAACAGGCCAAATCCGGTCGATCTGTAGGGCCCAAGCGAGACTTCTTCGGGAGAATCATTCAGGAGAAGCCACAGGGTAACAACTCTCTGGGCGCGGGCCCGGGGTCGGGCAAGGGAGCCGGGCCCAGCCACGACGCAAGTAAGAAGGCCAAGAAAGTATGGGTCAGTTACCACGAGGGTTTCTCAAACGCCGTGAGGAAGAAGATCACTATGACGGAGTTGCTATCCGGGCTGTAACTTTTAAAATTTAGCGCACATAGAGCAACGTCTTGATAGGAGACGTTTCATGATCTCTAAACGAACTTTTTTTTTTTCATGATATTCATTTAACGGACCTACAGCAATCTTGCCAAGGTTCCTGTCGCACAAGGTGAATACTCGGGTTAAGTAGATGGACGAGACCTTGTTGCAAAGGCGTCTAGAACAACCTTGCAGCCGCAGTACCGTCGAGTACCTTCGGCATAGGCACGGAGCTAGAGACGAGAATAATTCCGGGCATTTGATGTATCCTGCATTGTACAGTAGGCACATGATTCGGGTTGATCCTCCAAGCAGGCAGCCATTTATGGAGTATACATGCATAATCTTAGGTTGTAATGCAGGGTAATAATGATAAACAACGTTGTATTACCGCTATTTGGCGGTGGATAATTTAGCTGCCTAGCATCCGTCTGCGTAAGCTTAATGGCAGTCTTGACGACTTACTTATGTTTTTGAGTGTTATGGATTGTGATATATAGGAGGAGCGGGAAATAGAATATAGGTATATAGACCAAATTTGAGAAATAGCACTTTTTTATTATTAATATTTAAACTAGCTAGCAACTACCTATTTGCATGCAGGCAAACAAATAGAAGCAAGACCGTTATCTAAATTTTCAGCACCTGATCGACGTGCAGGCAGGATCAAATATTGGGCAAAACAGAAGGGAAAAGAAACCATCAAAATAAAAGAAGCCTGTCAAGAAAGCAATATAACAGATCAATCAATCTTATAACAGCATTGATAATCCCCCAGACAAACGCCAATCCAAATCTGTCCTATGCCACCCATTGTCGTAGTAGTCGTTGATATTGATGAAGGGGCGTCTGTAATGTTACGCCCGGTGAGCAAAGTAACTGGCTCTCGCAGCTTCGGTCGTGGTGGGTGAGATGCAAGTCGTTTGTTTTCTAGTCGTCTTCTTTGACAGCTCGGAGCTGTTTTCTTTCTGACGATGCAGGGCAGCCTTGAGTGCAGCTATGCTGGAGATGGACGAAGTGCTCATCATCGAGGAGGCGCTGGAGAAGAGCTTGTTGTCTGAGTTCTTGGCCATGCTACTTCGTCTGGAGAAGATGGACAGTCTGGAAGCGTTGGAGGCGGTTGCAGAGGTCGACATTGTTGTGGTAATATTATGTATTGGTGCTTGTAGTCGGTTTGGCGAAGTCGTAGTGACTGTTTGATTCTGGTTCTTTTTGGCTGGAGAGCTCAGTATGTGTGCTTTAAGAAAAGTAGAGGAAAAAAGATGTTTTTTTTTTGAGTAGTGGTCAGTCGAGCTGCGAAGATCTTGAAGCTGGTATATTTGATTAAGAGTGGTTGTGATGATAATGGAGAGAAAGGGGCATAAGAAGGAGGAGAGAAGCCCCTTCTTATAGACCGCCAGACCATGCATCTCTGGGTATCAAACAAGAAAAAAAAGCATGCTCCCACGACACTCCGTTCGTCATTCGGGATACGGCATGTCACGGTCTAGCCTGGCTCTGGGAAACACCGTCATACATCCGTATGCGTTACAAATCCATCCTAGCAATAGCGCGAACCAAGATTTACGTGGATGGGGGCCTGCGGGACGGTCAGACTACTGGGTGCTTTCATGACAAATGCAGACTATGTAAGCCTCATTAGACGCGGTGGAGCCAGGGGAGCGGGGAGCCATCTGTCTTATTCCGAAGAACACGCCTTGCCAGCTCGTTTTGGGCGCTAGCAAGCTTGTTCGCCTGCTGGTTGGTGAGAGCCAGCGCCCTTGGAGCAGAAAACGCCTGTCCCTTAGCGCTTATTCTGTACCTGGTTGGTGGTATGGAGCAGCTAGAAAGAGGGAAGGGCCCCTCCACGATCATCAGTATCGTCGACACCATCGACACTGGACCCAGTTAGTTGTGTGCTTGATTGTCTTCTTCCCCGTCCCTCGATCCTCAGCTTTTCCACCCCCCCTTTTTTTCTCCTTTTTTCCTGGACTCATTTAAGGTTTGATATCTCTCGGAGTCAAAGTCGGAATGAACTGGGTATTCCGATATCCTTAGTCAGCAACAGCTTTAACTCCGTTCTTGGTCAACAAAGCGACTTCTCGAAAACGTTCGCGCTTTCGTACTGGTTGATAAATTAAAATAACATCAACCATCGCAGAGACAAGGATACGAGGAGGAACCAACTCAATTGAGTCATTGGTCGTTGTTTGGTCGTTCTGGGCCGCCGCCGACAGCGAGCAACCGAACCCAGACTCCGATAGAGCTAACACTGCGGCTTCCCGATACCCATGTTGGAGGCTCGTTCAGGCAGAAATCTCCCCGTCAGGTTGCGTCAGGTTGAGGAAAACAAACTGTTAATATCGTCTGGTGACTCACTCATCCTGGGTCTAGATGGAGGTGACTGCTTATTTCTGATGCAGGCCGCCTGGGAATCTTACCTCAGGCTCGTAGTTCCTACCTGTACCATGTACAGACACGACTACAAGCAACGCCGATCTCCTTAGGCACCAGCATTCCACCGTCACTGGTCGAACTGGCTGACATGATTTGATCCTCCTGGAAACCATCATATTCTGCTGGTTTGCATACGAAACGGCTGCGTACCCAAGGTTAAGCTACTGGTTAGGAGTACGCCCTTCCATAGGGTACCATCAGATTCTTGATATATATTAAGATCTAGATCTAGGAGTACAATATCCCTCTAGCACATCAGTATTCCAAGCATACAGGCAGAAATGATGGCGACAGTCGAAACCGCCCCCGGACCAACTTGCATTCCACCATTAGGAACCATTCCGTCCTGGCTTGATCCTGGTTCCGAGCCACCGCTTCCTGACGTAGGAGCACTGCCTGTACCAGCTTGACCAGCAGTAGTGGTGACCGTGGCTGTCGTCGGTGAAGGGGTGCGTATTGATGTACAATACCCATTCACACCACATTTTTGGTCTTCATCGCAGCATTCCTTCTCACAGCAGCTGCCCGAGTCAGGACAGGCTCCGCTCTCACAACACTTCTCTGTTTCGCGGCTATAACAGCTCTTCGAGGCAAGACAGCATGATTCCCCTTTACTACAGGCCCAGGAATCGTCACCGTCCGTGCAGCAGATCGAGAACAACGGGTCGTAGCATTTACCCTCTCCACAGGACCGTTTGTAATCGGGACAACATCCTCCGTCCTTATGGCATGTGCTCGACTTGGGACAGCTTCCTCCGTCATCGCAGCAGACTTCCTTGTCCGGGTTATAGCAGTGTTTCTGGCCACAGGGGATCTCGCCGGACGGACAGCAGCCTGATGGTTCAACGCAGTCATATCCCTTATCACAGCTCGTTCCGCGAGACTCACAGCATGTCTCAGTCGATGGATCATAGCAGCCTTTGGCTCCACAACTTGTGTCTGGCTTGTTGCAGCAGCCAGTCGGCGTGCAGTTTTGGCTCGTTCTGCAGCACCCTTCGCCAGTCGGGCATTCGTCTAGAGGAGAGTTCCATATTAGCATTCAGTCTAAGTTACCGGCCTGAGTCATATTTATGCTTCAGCTACTCATTATAAATAAATAGAGACCAAAACCAGAGTTCATCAACATACAGGAACCTGCCGGACAAGATCTCGCAAACAGCAGTTTCGCTTCCGAAAAGCCTTCAAAGCCAGTCAGAGTCCCGTTTGCAGCACGCTGTGGTCGGAATTCTCCCGTCAACCGGGACGTCGGCTTCACTGCAGCGAGTGGCTGGTCCTCACGCCTCGGAGTGCTCGCAAACACACCGCTAGAGACAACTAGGCCAAAAAGAAAGTATTTCATCGTCATGATTGACTCACTTTCTGAGTTGGGAATCCGGGTTTTTGGGTATCAGGTATTTGTTTGTGCGGGTGCGGAAGACCAGCAGCACCTTTAAGAACTTCATTTCATCGGAATTCCTAGCGCACGGCTTATCAGGCGACTGATTCCACAAATAAATCAGTTTTATCCTCTCCGTCGGCCACATCTTGCTCTTGTTCAAGAGGACTACGCGGGTGAGATTCTCTTGGTATAGGGTCTCTGCCCCATCACGCTTACCAGGGAATACGAGAATCCCGTATTCATCGGCAGGCATAAAGGCCGACCCGAGGCACCATTTATAACTAAGCAGTGTCCTCAGAGCCTTATATTATGACTGTTGATATGCAAGGTGACGCATGGCAATAGAAAGATACACTGTTTTAACCCTTAACACCAGTGTGACTAATTTATGCATAATCACCATATATCGTATGCCATTAAACAGTGAGAGTACCACGCCTCTCGGTCCAGTACGTCGGGCAACAGTTATTTGGATAAGTATCAAAAAAGTGCACACTAGGTGTCTATATATAAAAAGAAAACAACAATCTACGCTTCCTTTTGCAGTTGTACACCTGTCTCGGCCCAGCCGATTTTAGGTCTCACACAAATGAAGACGGGTTCTCTTGACGCCCTCGTTAGTCTCCCCTTTATCCGCCAGCCTTTTGAAGCTCCCCTTCTTGCTTTGCTGGTTCATCACCTTCTGCTTCTTCTTCGTCCTCTCCAAGGGTAACATGAGCTTGGAGTCGTGGAAATCTATCAGCAGGACCCTCTGTAATTCCGCATTCCATAGCATATTATTAGGCTTGAGATCACCATGAATGACTCCTAGATCATGTAGCTCTTGCGTGGATCGCTCAATATGGCTGGCCAACTCGCGAGAACGCTTGCCGACTTCTTCTCCCCCAAAGCCCATAAGGAGCATATGCCGGATAGATCCTGCCCCATGAACATGGTAGACCATGTCAAGGTTGATAGGGCCAAGGAAAACAGGCACTGCAGATCCCTGGGCTGAGTGTAGAAAGCGATATACTTCCACCTCGCGTCGTACCTCGTTCCAGCGGAACGCCGTTGTTCCCTTGCCAAGAACAGTGTAGCCATAGCTACGACAGGTGACTTTAAATGGCTGTCCGTACGAGCCATGTTTACCATATGGGGTGCAGTCGAGGTCAATGTTCTCGTCTAGCTGACGGTTGATCAAGCTAACGAGTTGGTCTGCACTAATAGAGTGGTGAGTGGAAGTGGTATTTCCCTGTCTGTGCCGGCCAACGTTTGGACAATCCATATCAAGCCTGGTCCCCAGTCGGAGACCAAGCAAACACTTCTGTGTACAGAAGGACTCAACGTGTTGTCGCCGTTGCTGAACTTGGCCTCTCTGGCCTCTCTGGCCTCTCTGACCCGCCCCTTCGCCGTGTTGGCTGGACGACGAGGTAAGCTCGCTCAGGTTTCTTTTTCGCCCTCCAAGATGGGCTCCTGAGCCAGAAGGCGCTTCAGGATCGGAGTCAGAGTCGGTCGGGCCTGAACCTTGTGTTTCTGTGTTCGGAGCGCAACGGGTTTGAGACCGAGTTCTGATGCCTCCGCGGTTATCTGGAGCGGAGAAAGAACCAGCAGGGGAGGATGAAGGAATATATTCTGAGCCTGGAGGTGTTTGGCGAAGCTCCTCCTTGGGTATCTGTGATCTGACATAGTCAAGATCTGTCTCCCACCGTAGTCCATGTCTCAGCTGGTGATTCCGCCACGTATGGTCTCTAGCCGTGGACTGACAGCACATTAAACAGAAAGCGAGAACACGAGCTATGGCAGTCCATGGCCCAATATCGTCTGGATGGACATCAGCGTTGGGCTCACAGAGGAAGTAGTACAGTGTCTGCGGGTCATCTTCTGGAACGCGGAGAAAGACATAGGATATCCCATTGGTGACGTATGAATATTCTAGCCCCTCGGTAATCATAACGTGGTACTCTTGAACAAGGACAGAAGCTGATATTTTCTCTGCATTGTATTTGATCTTCTCTCCCGGTGGGATTGCCTTGATGTCTCGCAGGACAACTTCTTCCCAGAGGTCCATGGGCCGTAGGCCGGAATTTAGGTATTCAGGGGGCAGCTTATGAGGTGGCTTATACTCAACAGTTGTAAGAAGAGTCGTGGTGCCTTCCTTCACTTTGTGAATGCAGAATTGGTCCGCAAAGGCACGATCGATGATAGGGCTGTAGTTAGCCTCGATATCATTATCAGGGTCGTCAATACTGTTCGCATGGTTCTCAAACGTGATTTCCTCGCCTAGCTGGAATACTTCCCGGGCCTCTTCTATCTTGCAGAGCTCCGAAATAATATTATAAACATGTCGCTCGACGGCTAGCCGACCATAGAATTCTACGTCTTTCTCACTCCCTATCGGGTGGTTCAAGATCTGGCCGAGCCCCTCGAGCGTGATAACAGGAAGAAAGAGCCTTTCCTGCCGGAGAAATTCATAAACGTGCTGGTAGAAGTACTGCAGGGTATCGGAACAGTCACCCCACTGCTGCAGATACCGCGGGCACACCTTACCCGTCGGTTTGTTTATCGACCCCTGGGTTGAGTGTTCTATGCGCTGGACGCGAATTGTTAGAGAGATCAGGCGGTGACAGCCCCAGAGATATTCGTCGAAAGTTGTTTTTTGAGTGGCTTGTTGACGCTGCTCCCTCTCTTGTGACGCTCGTGCTTCTGCCTTGCTTGCTCGCTCTTCTGCCTGGAGACGCAACTCTTCTTCCTTGAGACGCAGGCCTTCTGCTTGGAGACGCAGGCCTTCTGCCTGGAGACGCAGCTCTTTCTCTTGCCTTGCTCGCTCTTCCGCCTCAAGTAAGAGAGCCTTATAGTCCGCATCTTGCGACATCCTCACGCTTGCTTGAGTAAACCCCCTAAGTTCGTGTACCCGTCTCGAAATGACGGCCGTCTAGACAAAGTTGCTGAGCCAAAAGGGCGAGCCTGCTGATGGGCTGCGGAGGAGTCGCTGCTCCAGGCTCCAGTCCTCGTGGAGTTAACTAGTTACGTAAGTTACTTGAGCCTCAGGAGCTGCTTATGTAAGGATTTTTCTATCTAACCATAAATAGTTAGCCTGCCGCAGCGTCTTGGCCCTGGTCGTCGCCGCTTTAACAGCAAAGACCCTATCGTGACTGCTACAGGTCCAGTTCATACTATGGAGGATTGATACGTACACTCTATCAAAACAAAAGAGTCTTTTTCTGAACTCCTATTATTTAAAGATATTATAACTCAGTCCTTACTCATATTAGCCTGATTATGCTTCTAGGTACCGGAAAATAAGGGTTGTTTAGGAACCAATAATGGTTCATCCAACATAATTTTGTCGGGAGCTGTAATAATCGTTAGTTATCCTAACAGGAGCCATTTATAACTGTAGAGTAACCAGTTTCCAAACACCAACATTTCGTCACAGATAACAAATTCGAGGCTTTTACGTTTTGCAATTGGTAAATGAATCTCAAATGGAACTGTTAATTGATTGCGAATGTTACTTGTGGTGAAGTACACGTATGAAGATGTTGTAATTGTTAAGTTCTCTCTGGAATATACGAGAGTGAGGCTCTCCTATATGCGTACGCTTAGTAATATATACGCTTAGTAATTATGATATAGCGAGAGAGGATGGATATTCTAGAGCTTATTCATGTGATCAAGTACTTTTTTTATTCTTAGTCCTTAGTTAGAACTGAGATAACAACAACATCACCACCTTTACCATTAATTACACTGCTGCAAGGCCTTATACAGCCCTTCTTCCACATCTAGTTCAAGCTTAAGCCTCACAGCCGCCCTTAGATACGCAAGGACTGTCTAGGACTACACTCACAGCCGCCTGGTTTTGATCTCTGCTATAAGGGCTGTGTTACCTTCCTCACCTTATGTTATGTCATCATGTCCTTACGTCATCATATCCACCTTATGTCATCACGATGTATCTATACGACGGTTTGACTACGTCACTCCGACAGAACAACCATCAATAAAGACACAATTACCACAACCAAGAGGTTATCAAGGTTACAGACTGTTAGTCCTTCACCCTAGTTTGGCTCCTCTCTGTATACATGACTGATAAGCAGTTTGCGCAAAAGCTTACGTCACAGCAATTCCACCGACTTATATGCAAAGTGACACTTCTTGAGGGAGAGCGTGATGCCAGATGACTGGAGCGTCGTGAGAACGGTATCCAGGTGAAGAAGTTGGTCCTCTAGCGTCCTGGAATACACTATGATATCGTCGATGTACACCAGAACGGATGACCACAGATAAGAGGCGAGCAGACGTTCCATAAGGTGTTGAAAAAAGGCGGGCAAGGTTGTAACCCCCATGACAGCAACCGTAAAACCACCGAGTGAACCCGTCGGGCTGCACCAAAGGAGGTGTTAGATAATGTCAGAGTCGGCATTTGCAATGGAGAAATTATCGGCATATCTGCCTTTCGAATCGGCAGAACTGGGGACTGAGCCCTACATTTTTTCTTCAGAGTTGATAAGCCTGCTGCCAGTTGCTTTCCTCTAGGTCTGAGACCGGTGAGAGGGATTTTCATCGTTACTGGCAAGCGACATATGAGGTGGCTTGTATTCAATAGCCAGGCGGCCTCCACCCAAAACTCGATAGACTCGAGTCCACATAAGCTCATGGTCCATATGTGACATGTTATTATGGGGGAACAAGGCTGGTATTGTTTGCTTGTCGCCTTTCTCGCTATGGATATCATGTCCTCTGCCTTAAGAATATGTGGTGCTTTATACTCAATAGTATGCAAAGACATCGACTATACCACTCAATGCAAAGAGCGAGCACCCACTAATAGTCGGGAGGATGATATCTTTTAACAATATTTTGGGTCGTTATTCAGCTGACACAGGTCTTGTCTTAGCTTGTGCTTGTGTCGATGATATAACGACACTCTCTGCAGCCAACTAGAGGTTTCCCCTTTTTGGCCCGGTGGTTTAATAGCTTGCCATGATACTGTTCGCATGATTCTTTAACGTGAGGGATGGTTGAGCGCTCCAAGCTTAGTATCAATAGGCAGTGGTATACTTGGAATAACGAGCGTTGGGTTGTTGCCTGTCAAGTCAAGAATAGCAGGGCTGAGCTTTTGGGACCAAATGGAGTATCGGGTAAGTGTTTCATAGCGCATGGATAGCATGCAAACTGCTTCATTGACCCCACTAGTATGGTGCCAAAACATCATTCTTGCTCAAAAATCTGGATGCCGGAGACTCGGGAGCACTTCTGCGGATGCTTGCCACGCCCATACGTGGTACTCCGACCTTAGTTATCCGGCTTCCCTAAGGCGAGTCTCAGTGCCGGGATCACGCAGATAGAATGTAGTAAGAAGTTGTTTTCCAGTTCCATGTTTTTCGTCGTCGTCGAATCCGATGACAGTAGAGCCTTGCCAGTGATTGGATCATTGTATACACACTCAGCGGCCGGTAAACCCGCCTGCTTTTTCGCGATCGGTTTGTACTTCATCTTTATAAAAGACGCCAAGCAAATGACTCTGTGAATATCCTCGGAATCGACGGTTAAACCCATGTCAGTACACTTGACAGATGTAAATACCGTTGGATTTCCCTTGATGACTTGAAGCAGGCTCCAAGCTCGGAAGCGTAGTATAAACCCTGAAGGCACCTGGGATGGACTACGGTCTGTCCTGTATACTAGTATTGATTTCCATAAGTGGTATTGTGGACAGCATGGAGTTAGCGACCGTATGATAGACTCTTGCATCAATGTTCAGAAGGCGCAGGGCCGCCGTGATAAGAACCTGCTGGGCGGGGAGTTAACCAATAAGTTAAGATACTCATCCACATCCAGGCCGATTGAGCTGAGCATCTTAGCAATCAAGCGAGAAAACTGAGTTGATGAAAAACGAAGAAGAAGAGAGATTCCTGGAAACAAATCGAGCTTTATAATCGAATTCTTGCGTCACTCTCGTATTAACTGTTGGCCCTCTTCACGTCATTTAAAGTGACTCAAGTCTTAGATCGAGGCCATCGGCACAGGCGTGGATGATTCACTGTTCGAGAACGAACGTGCTTCGTATGTATATATTCAGGGAAGCACAGAGTTAATAGTACGAGTTGGGCGAACAAGCGACTCTTCACATCGGCTAACTTAAGCTTATCCAGCAGGATTAATAATGTCCGCGATTAATAATTCAAGCCTCATCTGTTGGTGCGAGCATGACGGCATCCTGACTCAGGAAGGCATGCAAGTGTGTAGTCATATCGGTGTTTCAGGAGGGTATCGGAGTGGCGGAGATTGGCAAGGGTGTTTATATAGCTATGTAGACAGGTTTGAAGTGCTCCGAAAGTGGGCTCAGGCCATCAAGAATGGGTACCTGGCGGTGGGTATCATTCCGGCATCAGTACCTGTTATTCCGTCGGAGTAAATTGATAAGTTGCGTGTTACATATAAGTCGTAGGGTTGTAGATGGAGGAGGAGGAGGTTGCAGGAGGTCAGGGGTAACACTTTATCTTATCTGATCTAGTTTGCTGCTGTTATCCTTCGACCCGTGACAGCCTTGGAGCTGAGTAACTAAGTGTCCACAGCTACCCCTGCAACAGACAAGGCAAGCTACGGACAGGGAAGGGGATAATCAGATGGCTGAGTTCATCTATATAAGCCAGCAGACCAAGAAAGACACAGAACACCATACATTTGTATATACAAAGGAGCCAAAAATGTGATACAACGACGCATCTCTAGCTTTTCACTTCATTCCCTTCCATTGCTGGAATTCTCACTTCTTCAACTTCTCCGTCAACTCAGGAACCTTCTCAAACAAGTCTCCTACAAGCCCGACATCCGCAACCTGGAAAATAGGGGCATCTGGATCCTTGTTGATGGCAGCAATGACCTTACTATCCTTCATACCTGCCAAATGTTGGATAGCACCTGAGATGCCGGCGCACAAATAAAGCTGAGGTGCAACGTTTTTGCCCGTCTGGCCAACCTGTAGCGAATTATCGGCCATTTTTTCGTCGACAGCGGCGCGGGAGGCGCCGATAGCGGCACCAAGGGCGTCAGCGAGGGGAGTCATGATACGGTCGAACTCTTCCTTTGATTTCAGACCGCGGCCACCGGACACGACACGCTCGGCGGTGGAGAGATCGGGCCGTTCAGAAGTGGTGAGGTCTTCGGAGAGCCATTTTGTGGTTGACGGGGTTGCGGGGTCGACGCCATCTGTTATTTTGGCTGAGCCGCCTGTTGATGATCCTGGTTGGAAAGCGGTGCCGCGGACGGTGAAAAATTTGATGGGGTCGGTCGATTGGACTGTTAGAACTGCATTGCCGGCGAAGATGGGGCGGGTGAATTCTATATGTGTTAGCGGTGGGCTATGCGGTAAATTGGAGGTCTGGCTGGGCTGGATAACGTACTGTCCTCTCCCTCGATGGCGGTAACGTCTGAAACGGGCTGAGCATCCATCATAGCTGCAACACGGGGCAGGACATTCTTGCCAAAGGCCGAGTGGCTTGCAACGACATGTGTGAAGCCGCCCTTTTTGATGTTCTCGACTAATAGTGGTGCGTAGTTCTCCGGTAGGCCCTACGGACGTCAGTCAACGTCGAATGCAAAGCCAACCACATGCCCTTCCAAGCATATAACTCTTCACAATATCACTTGCGGAGAACGTCATCCTAGAGTCGTACCTTATCGTATGCCTCGTTTTCAACCGTAAGAACGTCCTCCACACCCTCCACCTTCGCAACTTCAGCAGCGACACCGGCCTTGACGCCCTTGCCAGCCACAAAGCCGGTGACGGGGCCACCAAGCTTGATGGCAGCAGCGATAGCCGAGAGAGAAGAGCCGGCTACTTTCCCATCTTTGTGTTCGAGGATCGCGAGGGTAGAGAGTAATCGGGAACGGGCTAGGGTGCTTGCGGCGGAGGGGTATATGGACCGAGTTGCCCGAAGGACGGTCGGGCGAGCGATCGAGATCATGGTCGTTATTGCTTAGGGGTGTGTATGTGTCTCTCTGTAGGGTGCGAATGAGGCCGGCTCGGCTTAATTGAGTGCTGGTGTGAGCGTTGGAGTTGAGATGCGAAGTTGGAAGAAAGAAGCTCGGTAGGTTCTTGGAATGCATGGAACCTCGTTCCTCGGCGCCGATAGCCGGATGACTAAGCAGGCAACATGTACACAGACTACATTGACATTGATACTGACATTGATACTGACAATTGATATTGAGGGATATAGATGAATAGACGAGTAACGAAATGAACGCTTTTATACCAGTCCCAGGATCTAGTAACGTGACATCATGCGCCGTACACCAAATGAGAGGAAGAAGGAAACAAGCAAAAGAAGAAAAGACGGCTATGTAGCTTTCTTCATCTTTGCCAGCTTCGTCCTGGGTTTTTTGGGGGAAGAGGAGGCCTCCTGGGGCAGTAAGAGGGCATCACCATTAACTTTGGCAACGGCCTTTGCCTTCTGAGCCTTCAACTTGGACTTTCGTGCCTTGAGCTCCTCTTCTTCCTCTTCGTCTCTCTCGACCGCGGCGGATGTAAGCAACTTTGACTTTTTACTCTTCTTCCCTGCATCCGCACCCTCTATGCTCTTCCGCTTCTTGCTCGAATCCTCAACTTTCATCACATCATCTTCCTTGACATCTCCTTCCTCTAGCCACAGCTCATCAGCCAACCAGACAGGCATGGCAGCCGTATTGGCCCCCTTGACATGCACAGCCTTGAGATTCTTCCATCCCCGCGCAACATACTTGTCCACCATCGCCTCGACAACCGCAGAGACGTTCTCCACCACCTTCTGAGCAGGCCAATTCGACCACCCAACTCTCAGCGCAGCTGTGGCGGCCGGGGAGAGATTGACAGGAACACATGCAAGGGCGCGCTCGATCTCACGCGCAACCACAGCCGGCGCAGCGACAGAGGCAATCTTCTCGTCTGTGGGCGGCCTCTTCTTATCGGCTGCCTTGACCCGCTTGCCATCTACCTTCTGGATCTCTTCCAGGCGCACGGGAATAGGACGCTTCGAGGACTTGAAGAAAATCTTGCCTAGCGTGTTGACTAGGCGCAGTATGATGCGGTCGTCGGCAAGGAACAAGTCGTGTTCAGCCAGGAGCTGTCTCCTGCTCTCGAACGACTTGTATCTGTCCCGCAGCTTCGAGAAGCCGATGACCTTGGTGATCTTGGCAGCCAGCTCGGGGGGAAAGGCGGGGTCTGCAATGGTATCCTTGACAGCGCGCTGGGGGTCTGCGGTGATGAGGCAGACGTTAAGGGTTGACGAAGGGTTGAGGGGGTGTGGCACGGCGATCTTGCCTGGCTTCATCCTGTTCTTGTCGACGAGGTGTTTCTTGGTGGTAAGGATGAGCCAGATGGGCGAGTGTTCCCCCGTGCTGCCATCATCCTCGCTGTCATCGCCATCGCCAAGAGGTAGCTTCTTTACTGTTGAGTCTGCTGCCTTCCGCTGGTCTTCGGCCTTGATGTGTGAGAGCAGAGCAGTCGATGCACGGAGTACCTTCTCTTGTTTAGTTGTCTGTCTCTTCTTTTTTGGTCTTCGCCTGGGTGTCGCTAACTTACCTGGTCTGCATCCAGCTGATACTTTGACCCCGTCTTTACCACTGAAACAGCCATCTCGACTCTTGTACTCTCTTGACTAACTCTTCTCTTGCACTGCTCGCCTTTCTCTGCATCAAAAAAAAAAAAAAAAAAGATAAAAAACTTTAAAGTTCAAGATAAACTCTACCGGCCCGACTTTTTTGCATATATTATTAGTCATAAATTATCAATCCATCTTACTAATCCATTACTCACCAGTTGTTTATCACATGACTGTACCTGCATCTGACTAAGCAGCAAAACAAACAAACCGAAAGTCAAAAATAATAAAAAGCAAAAATAAAGCCGACGTCAAGAAGTCAATTGCATATTTATTGCATAAATACTATTATTGCAAGAGAGCAAAGCGGAAAGAAAAGCAAGCAAATAGAAGACAAAGCTGAAAGCTGGAGCTGGGGCCTCGGAAGAAGATGAAGAAGATGAAGAAGAAGAAGGAATAATGCTACCCACCATCATTAATGAGCTAGCGGAGACGTCGCGAGCGGAGAAAAGGTAAGAGTTTCAGGTAAGACAGGCTGGCAGGCCCCATCGTCATGGCTCAGCCCATCCTCCTCGTCGCGGTCTAGCCTTGCTTCCTTGCTTTTGCGCCGTTTGTGCCTCTCTGCTTCCTTTTACCCTGGGCACCCGTTGCCACGCAGCACAGCGCACAGCATGAGGCAGCTGGCACAACGTCGCGTCGGCGAACGTCCACACATCCAGCACAGCGTAGCCCGCGGCCTTCCCCTCCCCTGAGCATCTTCTTCATGGCCTTTTACTCCGTATATCACTCCATATATCATATTTATCACTCCGTAGTTATCAATTATATTGTCGTCTTGTCTTTTTCTCGCTTTTTTGTTTTCTTCTCCTTTTTTTGCTCCTAAAACAAGAAAAAGGCCCCACTTTTTTCCCTCTTTAGGCCGAACCCCTTGCGACGCTTGCTGCCACGCACCACGGCTGCTCTCACCACGCCCCGCCCGCGCTGACGCCTCCCCTGCGCCCCGCTCTGACTGGCCGACCCCTGATCCGCGGTGCGCCCACGGCCCTAACGTCTTCCCCCCACGCCCCAGACCCCCTTTGGCCCTTTCTTCGTCTGGCTTTTTCGTCAACCTCGAACTTCGCAACTTCAACTTCGTTCAAGTTCACCACCACCGCGAGCTCCAGCTTCATCTCAGTCACTCATTTGAACCCCCAGTCGCTCTCTTAGTTGCTGTTTTGTTCGCCGTCCTCGGTGCAGGACTCACTCCCACGCTCGTTACCAAGGCACGCCCTGCCTGTCTGTCACCCTTTACCCAGTACGTTGCTCTCCTGGCTGTCTTGTCGCCAGTCAGTGTCGAGCCTCATCATCCGTGACAGGTGTCATCGCAGAATGGAGATGGACACGGCCATGGATGGAGAGACGAATAGAAAGGGGAGAGATATGCTGACACGCCGTTATATAGTCCCTCTTTACGATGAAGTTCTCCTCGGGCGTCCTAACACTGGCCGTTGCCGCCTCGGTCCAGTCGGTCCAGGCCTCCTACCACGCCCATGGCCACGCCCATCACCACCGCGTCCTCGACAAGCGCGCAGACCCCGATGTAGTCACCATTCCTGGCCCCAAGGTCTATGCCTTCGTTTTCCAGGGCCAGGAGATGACCAGAGAGGAGGTTTGCGCCGGTATCAGGGACGGCAGACTGGACTGGGACAAAGGTCAGAACCATGACGAACTGTGCGGCTTCCCTGTTGGCATGCAAAAAGGATCTCCTCCGGCCTGTCCGGCACCCTCTAATGTCCCCAACCAGCCTCCGGTGCCCTCGTCCCCTCCAGCTGCTCCACAGCCTCCTTCCAAGGGCCCAGAAACGCCAGAGGAACCCAAGAAGCCAGATGAGCCCAAAAAGCCAGAGGGACCGAAGACTCCCAGCCCTAAGAAGCCTGATGGTCCTCAGCACCCCCAGACTCCCACTGGTGGTGAGGGTGTTAACCGTCCATTCCCCAACGGCAAGATTGACTGCAGTGACTTCCCATCCAAGTACGGCGCCATCGCCGTTGACTACCTAGGCCTCGGCGGCTACATTGGCATCCAGCATGCCAATCTTGTCGGTGACGTCTTCGGGGCCATCCGCACTGCCGTCGCCGGCGAGTCCTGCACTGACGGAGCTATGTGTTCTTACGCTTGTCCCCCCGGCTACCAAAAGTCCCAATGGCCTAAACAGCAAGGGTCAACTGGAGAATCTGTTGGTGGTATTGCATGCCGTAACGGTAAACTCTACCTCACCAACCCCGAATTGTCTGACAAACTTTGCATTCCTGGCGTTGGTGGCGTCCACGTCAAGAGCACTATCGGCATGGAAATCTCAATCTGCAGAACCGATTACCCGGGCTCTGAGGGTGAAACTGTTCCTGTTCCTCTCCCGCCAAACGGCCATTTGCCCTTGACTTGCCCGAAAGCCGAAACCTACTACTACTGGAAAGGAAAGTCCACTTCTGCGCAATACTATGTCAACCCACCCGGTTACGGTATCTCAAAGGCTTGCCAGTGGGGTCATGCCGGCTTACCCATTGGCAACTGGGCTCCTCTCAACATTGGTGTTGGTGAAAAGGGAGGCACCAAGTGGCTGTCCCTTTTCCCCAATCGTCCGACCACCACCGCCATCCTGCGCATGACCGTCGAGATTGTCGGAGAGGGCCTCTCAGGCAAATGCAAGCACAAGGACGGCAAGTTCTACACTGATACCGGTGTTAACGAGGATGGATGTACCGTAAGTTCACTCAATCCAGCTACTCTGCTACTTCCGTTACTAATGACATTCTAGGTCTCCGTCATACATGGTGAAGCAACTTTTGTCTTCTCATATGACTAGACAAGCTCACGATACATCTAGCTTGTTAATGATCCCTCCTCCCTCCACCCCTCTCTCTACTTCTCGTTCCCTTCCTCGTCCTTGCTCGCCGCTGCTTTGATTCCCTTGCTTCTCCCTCTTATATTTCACCACCATACTTCACTTCGCTCTGTCTATCTTATATACTCACCATTGTAGTTAAAGACTTTCCCTTATCTCCCCAGTCCACTCGTGTCCCCCCAGTTCCTCGCCTTGCTGCTACCATAACTCCACACCCAACTGACCGCCTAGGATCTATATCTCCCCCCTTTTGTCAGGTTAAAAGGTCCGTTAAATCTTGTTATTGTTTATTGTCTATTAGATGAATTTACTTCCTTGCTCTTTTTTTACTTTATATCTATTTTATTTTCACCTTCCCACGTCTGATGATCCCGATGCTTACCCTTAAGCTCTCTCCGTACGTGGCGTGGCGCTCATGCAGACTAGACCGTCCATCATTTACCAATAATAATAATACCCTTTGTTCTCATCTGCCGTCCACGCCTCTTTTCACCTAACTAGCAATAATCTATCTGATAACTTGCCGTGTCTGTCTCCTTGCCTGTCGTATAAAAAGGGTTCCTTTTCCCTCTGCCGTACTTCATACCCCATACCTCTACAACACTACCTACATCTACTTGACACTCAAATCACCTTCAAAAATTCCTAACCCATCCACTACCAAAATGGTCCTCCTCAGCGCTCTGCTCGCTTTATCCTCCGCCCTGACTGTCCTCTCTGTCCCGGGAGACCACCTTGTAAGCCTACAACAACACTACACCCTATAGCCATACTAACCATCTTCCAGGGAGTCATCGTGAACAACCGATGCAACGGCGATACCAGGGAAGCACTCATCGATAGCGACTGCTACCCATATGAAGACACCACGTAGGTCTACATACACACTCACTCGCCCACATACTCGCTCACGCTTCACACCTACTGACTCCATAACCAGCGGCGTCAACGCCACCATCGCTATTAAATGCAACTTCTACGCGTACGTTAATCGACTACTTTTCTGTCTTGAGGTTGACTGCTTGTATGTGCTAATGGTTGACCAGAACGCATAACTGCACCGAGGTCGAGATTTTTGACGGCTGCACGATCCTGGAGGACTTGACTACAAAGGGTGACAGGTTTTTCAAGTGTGTCTCTGCACAGGATTAGCAATGGGAAGGCATTGTTACGGATTTACGTACGAAATCAAATGACTGCTTCAGATATGGCTGGAAGGCACTTTGTTTGGATAGTTAATGGGACTCATTTTTGGGCATCGTGTTTCTCACCGTTAAAATTGACTTTGATATTGCGTGGAGCCACTCGCAAAATTGGGGCTTTTTTAAAGGTTTCGGTGGAGACGTAAACAATGCATACATACTTCGCGGTCATAGCTTATTTATGCCCGCGAGTTAAAACATTATATTGCATCTAGCTGTATTAGCTGTCTATGTTGGATCCAGCACAGGAGTCGACATGGCTGCGTGTACTCAGGAACCAACGAAATAGTCACAATGCACGGCATACGGAACAATTATGACCAACAATCATTGCAGCTCCCATCCCGATCGGCGGAGACAAAAGGAAAATACATTCCTTTTCATGCAAATCACCCTTCAATGAAGTGGTGATCCTTCGTTACACCACAGGTCCCAAATTTGAGTCCAGGCCGAGAAGGGAGCTACGTGCCCCAATCGTCGTATGCATATATGAATACCTTTCTCGTCGACGACCATATAGTAGGCTCGGCTTAGACATGAGTCTAACATGCTTCTTTTACGACCTTTCCAACTGTTTTCAGCAAATCCAAGCTCTTCAAAAAATGCGTTTTTTCCTTGCTTCCCTTTTGCTGGCTGCGGCTGCTATCGTCAGTGCTGACTCAGGCGATAAGATCGTATGTGCCGCTACTTACACCCCACGGACGATATCTGCTAGAAAACCAGCCTAACATGGTGATAGGGGTCCATCCATACCGACCAGATGTGCACCTCAAAGGGTGTTGACCTTATTGATAACAAATGCACTCCCTATCCCCAAGGGTATGCTCATACACCACTTAAACTGACAGCGTGCTCCATATTAATCGCTAACTTATTCGCAGATCTATAAACTTGACTGCTGATGCCGCTATCTGCTTCGCTTTCCCGTATGTCAACTACTTTTATCTGATCATGTTATATACTCATGATACTAACAGTGCCGCTTAGAGATGAGGACTGTAACGAGCCCACTATAACTCCAGACAGCGTTAAGTTCGAGAAGGGGTGTGAGCTTACTGAGAAGTTGGCCGGAGGTAAAGGTTTCCTCACATGCTATGGAGAGTCCAGAAAGCCTGGCAAGGGGGATAAGTAAATTATTGAGCCATGGTATTAGACAGAACATAATGAGCCTGGATGATTGCGTCGTTAGGTAATCCCAAACACACATAGAATGAAGAAAATGACCATCTACGTGTTCATGCACTAAATTT